CACGGCTAAGGAACGATCACGAAGATCAGCTTGTGTGTCTAGGGGTGCCCCCCTGCCCCGTATATAAAGGAGCCAAGGGGGAGGGGGCGGCCGTCCAGGTGTGGCGCGCCAAGGGGAGTCCTACTCCCACCGGGAGTAGGACTCCTTTCTTTTCCTAGTTGGACAAGGAGAGAGAGGGGAAAGAGGAGGAAGAGAGGAAGGAAAGGGGGGGCGCCGCCCCCCTTCCCTTGTCCTATTCGGACTAGGAAGGGGAGGGGCGCGCGACCACCTCTTGCCTCCTCTCCTCTTCTCCCTTAAGGCCCATGTAGGCCCAATAACCCCCGGGGGGGTTCCGGTAACCCCCCGGTACTCCGGAAAAATGCCGATTTCACCCGGAACAATTTCGATGTCCAAATATAGGCTTCCAATATATCGATCTTTATGTCTCGACCATTTTAAGACTCCTCGTTATGTCCGTGATCACATCCGGGACTCCGAACTAACTTCGGTACATCAAAATGCATAAACTCATAATAAATGTCATCGTAACGTTAAGCATGCGGACCATACGGTTCGAGAACAATGTAGACATGACTGAGACAAATCTCCGGTCAATAACCAATAGCGGGACCTGGATACCCGTATTGGCTCCTACATATTCTACGAAGATCTTTATCGGTCAGACCGCATAACAACATATGTTGTTCCCTTTGTCATCGGTATGTTACTTGCCCGAGATTCGATCGTCGGTATCCAATACCTAGTTCAATCTCGTTACCGGCAAGTCTCTTTACTCGTTCCGTAATACATCATTTCACAACTAACTTATTAGTTGTAATGCTTGCAAGGCTTATGTGATGTGCATTACCGAGAGGGCCCAGAGATACCTCTCCGACAATCGGAGTGACAAATCCTAATCTCAAAATACGCCAACCCAACATCTACCTTTGGAGACACCTGTAGAGCTCCTTTATAATCACCCATTTACGTTGTGACGTTTGGTAGCACACAAAGTGTTCCTCCGGCAAATGGAAGTTGCATAATCTCATAGTCATAGGAACATGTATAAGTCATGAAGACAGCAATAGCAACATACTAAACGATCGGGTGCTAAGCTAATAGAATGGGTCATGTCAATCAGATCATTCACCTAATGATGTGATCCCATTAATCAAATAACAACTCTTTGTTCATGGTTAGGAAACATAACCATCTTTGATTAATGAGCTAGTCAAGTAGAGGCATACTAGTGACACTCTGTTTGTCTATGTATTCACACATGTATTATGTTTCCGGTTAATACAATTCTAGCATGAATAATAAACATTTATCATGATATAAGGAAATAAATAATAACTTTATTATTGCCTCTAGGGCATATTTCCTTCAGTTGGTTCTATCCATCCTACCACTTCCACCTCGTGTTGTAGCTCCGGGGTCGTCAGTCGGAGAGAAAAAGGTTTTGTCTCTCATTTGTGGTGTAGCAAGTTATGATGGTAGTGATGTTGCACCCAACATAGTGGTGCCTTATCCAACACTGTAGAGTAGTTTGGGTGTTTTTTTCCAGTATTTTTTCATGAACAACTGATTGGTTATTTGTGTTGTTTGCTGGTGTGGCTTGATGGGAATCGCCAATGACAACATCCTCTTCTTCAATAGCCCATCTCTTTGAACATTTGCGAGCAAGGTTGTCGCCTTTGTTTCACCATCCCGGCGCAACTGCCTGCCTAGATTGGGTGGTGACCTCGCCGATATGCTTGGCATGATTGCATATCTCGCAATTGGGTTGTTATTGTGCAACTTGTAACATTTTTCTTGCTCTCTATGCTTAGGAATGTAATAGTGAGGTTTAAGTGTACTATTATCCTTAGTTATATATCATTCTTTCTGTGGACTTGCTATTTCTCGTATGCATGAAATTGCTTTTCGCACCTGTCACTTTTTCCCTTATTACTTCCATTTCCTTCTTCCTTCACTCTTGGCCGGATCTCGCCGGAGAAGAAACAAGCTCGTTGGAGAAGAACTAGCCCCACCATCTATCTTAGGGTGAAGTAATGGCCTCATTATCTATATTAGGGGTGGGGTGCAGGGGATTGTGGGAGGTTTTCATGAGTGGTGTCGGGCTTAGAGGGATGGTCGGTGCGGTGACAAGCAACGACGGTGAGGCGAGGTTGAGGGGAGGGCGGGACGGTGAGATGGTGCGGGGTCCACCCGCCAGCCGCGGGTGGTGGATGCCGGCGGCTAGGGCGGGGTAGGCTGGGGGCGTTGGGGATCGGGAGGAGGAAGAAGAGAGAACGAAGATGAACCACTTTAGCTACATTTCAGTCAGTTGAAATTTCACTTTCGGGTCAGTTGATTTTGTGACCATTGGATTGTGCTTTGAGATGTGGGTTGTCCTGTTTTTGCTGGTGAGTTGGGCTTCGTCGAATAGACTGACCTCTTGTCTGCGTCGGTCGATTTTTGCTTGTTGGGCATGTTTGCCTCGCGCGCGCCCGTTAGGTGGTTCTGCGCCGCCCCATCAACAGGTTTAGGCGATTTGTTTTCTCAATTGTGCGCGCGCACACACACAAGTATGCTACCGCCTGCATGCAGCATGCGGCCAGTGCGTGCAACATGGGTGACGCGGGGCCGATGAAATTAATTGGGCGTGTTAGTGCAGAGTAATTGAGATCAACCTAACAAGCTTGTTTTAGTTTGAATTAAATGATAATTTTATGAATTTTCTCTATCATGTCGATGCACAAGTCCGAATGTGTTTTCTATGTCTCTTCTATGTGTCTTCCTTATTGTTTTTCTGTCAGTTTTTCTTTGTTTCTGTGTGAGCGTGGGTGTGTGCGCGTGCGTGCGTGTTGAGGGTGATGGACCCGTCGATGTAAAATGCAATTTATTTTTGACATGTTGAGAGACGATTAATCTCCATTGTTGATGTTATGTTATTAGAACATGGAATATAACATGAATGTGTGAGTGCAGATTATTTATAATTAGTGTGTAAATTATTTTGAGATCTTTGGTGTGTACCAATGGCACTAATTAATTATTTCTTCGACAACTTTAATTTTTTTTGTTTTTAATTTTTAATTTCTTTCTTCTTAAAGGGTAATACAAATGCCACTAATTCATTTTCCATAGAAAACTTTATTATTTTCATTATTTTCAGTTTTTGTTTTGTTCTGATTCTACCTTAAGGGTAATAGCAATGCCGCTAATGTATTCCTTCTGAGGAAACTTTTGTTTTGTGAAAATCCACTATTTATATGCTAAATCTTGTATATTATGAAAAAGCACAAATTATGTGCAAATTCTATCCAATTTTTTATCATTATTTTTATTTTTTATTTTCTTTCTTTTTGACAGCAATACCAATGACACTAATGTATTCACATCTTACCATTTTTCGCAAAAAGTTCCAATTTTACATGCCTATTCTTGCATATTATAAACAGACGCATTTTCTGTTTAAATTGTGTGCAAATTTGGTCATTATTTCTTTGAGTTTATTTTGCGTTTTCTTTCTTCTTGGAGGGTAATACCGATGCCATTAATTCATTTTTACTTAGAAAACTTCATTATTTTGATTTTGTTTGAGTTTTTATTTCATTTTCTTTCTGCATTAAGGCAATATCAATGTCACTAAATTCATTAGTTGTTCGGGAACATTTTTTGGATAACTTTTACTATTATATGCTTATTCTTGTATATTACAAAAGAGCGCAATTTCTGTGTAGATGGTGTGCAAAATTTGTCATTATTTTTTATTGTTTTGATTTTCTTTTCTCTTTAAGGATAATACCAATGATACCTTACAAAATAAGCCTTCCACAAAAAGATAATGCTAATGACACTTACTCATTTCATTTTTTTTAAGTTTTCTTTGCAAAAAATTCCACTATTACATGCTTAATTTTTTCATTTATAAAAATGCGCAATTTCAGTGTAAATTGTGTGCAATTTTTTATATTATTTGTTTTAACTATTTTATTTTTTCATGTTTAATGGTAGTACCAATGCCAGTAATTCTTTCTTCTTACAAAACCCTATTTATCCAAAATACCACTATTACATAATTATTCTTGCATATTTTTAGAAGTGGATTTTCTGTGTAAATTGTGTGCAAATTTTATCATTATTTATTTTCAGATTTTCTTCTTCTTACTGTGTAATACTACTGTCATTAATGTATTCTTTCTCGGAAAACTTCATTATTTTGATTTTGATTTTGTTTTATTTTTATTTTATTTCTTCTTTATGGGTAATACCAATGGCACCAATTCATTACGTCTTATAGAACATATTGTAAACAATCTTAATTGATTTGTAAACTGTGTGCAATTTATGTAATTATGTTTTTAATTATCTTTCCTGAAAAGGTGAACCAATCCAATTCTTCCATTCTTCTTTAGAAAAAAAAAATCATATTTTTATTTTGCTTTAGTTTTTATTTCATTTTATTTATTCTTTTAATGGTAATATCAATGCCACTAAGTCATACTCCTTCCGCTCCATAATTACTGTCGTGGTTTAGTTCACAGTAATTATGGAAAGGAGGGAGTACTTTTTTTGTTGTCGAATACAAAGGAGTACTTCTTAGAAAACATTTTTGTACGAAAATTTCAAGCACGTACGGCATGTAGCAAAAGGTGATTATGGTGTAATCTCAGTTGGAGGCGTGTACTAGCAATCTGCTTGTAGATACATATTATCTGCTTATACCATGCACCAATCAGTGTTGGATCTAATCACGTCTTGTCCAGTCGGGCTCAACTCATCTCATCTTACACACGCCCAGTACAACTCGTCATAGCACCGCTTGCTTATGAACAGCTGCGTGATCTATTTTGGACCATTTGATCAAGAACCTTTTTTTTTCAGGCACCTGCAAATAGAGCCTCCCTTCTTTCTGCGCAACATTATTTGGTTGGTTCTAGGCTTCTAGCCGTGGGGCTCACTACCATTGTTGCTGTATGGCCGATGCATCGGTGCACCAACCACCACGCATCAGTCTATCCTCGTTCGCAACTTTACACCGACGCGTCCATCAGCTCTTGGTCGGCGACGAGCCTGGCGAGCGCACCAGGAGCGAGGCACACCTCCAGCTCCATGCCGCCTCTCCCCACGCCGTCATCCCTGCCCTCGTACACCGAGACCAACCCGTCCACCTTGTTCCCGGCGCCGCTCCGGACGGCCAACGGCCTGCCCCACCCGAAGTCGTTGCCATACACGTCGAGCTCCGGCGAGCCGCTGGCCACCATCGCCGCAGGGCCGATCCCGTCCAGGTACTTGAAGCTGGGGCTCGCAGGCCACGCCCCGAGCTCGGCCCTCACGCTCGCCTCGTCCACCGCGGCCACGGCCCGGTTCAGGAGCCACGCCGCCCGGCCCAGCCGGCCGTCTCCCAGGATCTCGCCGGCAGCAGCCCTGCCGACGGCGCCCGCGGCCGCGTTGCCCACGTAACCCCGCGGCACGCCCTTCACGAGTCTCCTGGGCCGGCGCGAGCGCCCGGGCACGACACGCGGCCCGCCACACGTGCGCGGCCACGGCCTGCAGCGAGGAGATGGTGGCTGTGCCGCCGGCGGCCATCGTCTCGGCGTTCGCTTTCGCCGTCAGCCTCTTCACGCTCTCCGGGGAGAAACACAGCGAGCATTCCTCCAACGGCGGGCGCTCGAACCGCCTAACCATGTCCTCCGCCTTGGCGAAGGGAAGAGGGATCGGCACGGGGCAGCCGTCGAGGAACCATCTCTTGGGCACCGTGGGGATATCTTCGCCGGCAGCGGCGCCGCCGCATCGGCTGATCTCCGACCACGCGTTGAAAAGGTCCCACAACGTTTCCCCGTCGGCGGCGCAGTGGTTGAGCGACATGGCGACGAAGACGCCGTCGGCGAGCTCGGTGACCTGCGCGGCCAGGAGCGGCCGGGTGGGGTCCACGGCGGCGTCCACGCCGAGCATCCCGTTGAGAGGGAAGAAGGACCAGACCACGCGCGGGATGACGCGGAGCGGGCCGGCGATGTCGGCGACGGCGACCCCGGGCGCCACGGCGTGGACGAACTCTGCGCCTTGGTCGTCGCAGCTGATCGAGATCGTCAGGCCCGGCCGAGCGTCCGCGCTGGCTACGGGCGCGACGGCGAAGCGGCCGGCGAGCGGGTAGAAGCGGGCCAGAGCGCGCGAGAAGGACGACGCGAGGTGTTCGACAGCATGTGCGCCGGGCCGAGGCTTGGGCAGGACGACGCCCTTCTGCAGGTACTCCACGGTGATCCGCGGCAGGTCCCATGGCGTGAGGTTGACGGTCTCGGGCTCCGGCGGCCGCGAGCTCGCGTGGTGCTCCGGCTTGACCATGCGCCGGGACAAGATCTGGACGCCGTCGCCTTCCATTTTGATCGCGGGAGCACTGGAGCAGTAGACAGACTCTGAGTCTCTGCTTGATCGTGTGGCTTTGGGGCATGCGGTGGTCTGTAAGAGTCGTGACGAGCAAGACTAACGGAGCACGTGCAAAGAAGCATACATACGCAAGATTTTTCTGGAAACGTGGGGAAGGTACGGGTGTCCAAGAGTAAGAGAAGAATCTTTTTTTTACAAAGAAGCCCTTGAGATCTTCTAGCCCATCCACGTCATCCTTGGCCGCCATTGTCGGAGCTCCGTGAAGAAGAAGCGACTAAGTGCCATCGCACTTGGATTAGGAGGGGCATCAAAGCTTTTTCACCTTCGAGAGTAACTGGCTGGCCTGCAACGGAACTCTTGTGGTTGTGGCGCGTCGACCAGGAAGGCCCTGGTACACCTAGGACCCTAGATCCATAACACACCGCCGCTAAAGCAGAGAGGTGCCATCGCTGTCCTTGCACCTTGCATTGCAACAAGCAACACCCTCAAGACCACCACTTGCTCATGTACATGGTTACTCAACCACTTTTCGCTAGTGTCGAAGTGCACGCCACCATAGCGGAGATGAAAGCGAGAGAGAGAAACACAAAGATGTGGCAATAGTCTCGTGAGCCTATTAACGACCGACATCATCGCATCTAACTAAGAAACCGTAGGTGACCACAAACGACCAATCAACTAAAGGGCAACTTCCGGCAGTTCCACTAAGAATTCTCCCCTGTATCTAAAAAACAAGGACCCCTAAAAGTTGTCGAAGAGAAAGGATGAAGAGGATTTAGATCCTGCGAAAGCACATGAAAAATGCCTTTTGAGGCATTTTTTCCCCATCCACCTCCGAGCATGTTGTTGAAACGGTCCTAGGAAAGAATACGTCTTATAGCCAATTTTCCTTCTTCTGAGCAAATAAATTTAGTATTATCTCCGATAAATCATTCGTGAATCTGCGTCTTTCATGACAATTGTAGTATTTGTGCCCAAGTTCTTTCTGTTCCCTTTAGGCCTCCTTTTGTTCATACATCTTGTATGATAAATGTGCATTTATGCCCTATAAGGTAAGACTGATTTCAATGGTTCCCTTAAGATATTTCTCTTACTTTATATTGTTAACAATATCCAATGACTACCATTCAGAACAAAACAACTACATCTCCCACTACTACTTTCCCAATGATTAATTTTCAAGTCTATATATATATATAGGCTCATCTCTTATCAAAAAGTCACTTTGGTGGACGGGTGCATTGGAGCCCTATATTTTAAATATTGTCAAATTTGTATTTTTGAAGTTTCAAAAACTCCAAAAATACTTCCACATGTTCATATGGATGTATGTTACACATGTGCAAATTATGATGATGAGATAAGTAACCATGTGAGTTACACACAAATGACAAAACCGTGATCTATACTACTATATAGTTTACGAGTTTTGAATAGGAGCTGGCCATCAATCCTAACCATTTATGTCCTAAATCCAACGGCTGAAAGTAGCGGGATTCGCAGTGAACAGTGCATGGTTGTTGCATCCACCATGTTCTAGAATGAAGCGCCTGATAATTCTCAAGAGATATGGCCCAAACTAATTCCTCTTGGGCCAGACATGTTGTAGCTTGAGGTTGGCAACGGGTCGAGCCCAAAAAAGTGGTTTCGAGGGAGAAATATAAAGTAAAATTAAATTACATTTTTAAATTCTTTTCTTTATTAACATTTTTTGCGGGATTCTTTGTTAACAAGTTGTGGGGATTGCATATATTAATTCTGACTTTCTTTATAATATTTTATTTCGGCATCTATAAATCAAGAATATCTTTTCTTCGAATTAATCAGCAAATCTATGTTTGTTCCTACCAAAAATCATCCCATAATGTTAAAACGTGCATTGCACGTGCATACATACTAGTTTTGGAAAGATGAACAGTGCATGTATTGTTCACTATTTAGAAATCGCCATTTTGTCATTTTTGTATAGCTCACATGTTTTCTTATTTCATCAACAAACTTTATACATGTAGAATTATTTTCAGGATTTTTTTTGAGATTTTAGATGTGATTTTTAAGCTATTTAAAATAAATTCCTCTAATGCACCCATGTTCCAAAAATCTACTCTCGCATATCTCTCTCACATAATCATGGTCAGGTCTCTTCTTCCACTTCTCTTTCCACATCTCCCTGCCATCTCTCAACAACAAAATGAGTCGTCACCAAAGATTGGCTCTTCGATTTGCGAACATTTCAGATCCGAAGACGAGGAACTCATGACAGATGTAGTTATAGTAGAGAAAGGACAAGCGCGGTTGGATGATCGACACCATGGCGGTTCACTTCAATCGGGATGTCAATATTTCTTGTTGGCATGGAAGAAATCATACTCTTTTCCAACAACAAGTGCGAGATTGACCGATTCTTGCGATTCGATCCTAAGTTATCGTGACATATGCAACCACCAAAGTCAAATCTTCAAGACCGTAGATTCTTTTGTTGTTTTTTTATTTATGTTCATTTTTCTACTGTTTGCTCTCACTTTCTTAAAAAGCACTTTTTATGTAACACTTGATTTCTTCAAATGGATGAATATTTTTCTAAAAGACATGAACACTTTTGAAATTACATGATTTTTATATAATATATGAACATTTATTTAATATATTTTTTATTTTTTAAATGCGTTAATTCTTGGTAAGAACTGCATGAACATTTTCTAAGATGTGAAAAAATATATTTAAAAATGTACAAGAATTTTCAGAAAAAAATAATTAAATTTTTTAGTAAAAGTGTTTAATAAAATACGCCAGTATTTTATTAAATGCATTTACTCTTGGTAAGAACCGCATGAACATTTTCTAAGATGTGAGCACATTAAAAAATTGTGCAAACATTTCTAGAAAATATGTTGAAACTTTTTTAATAACATGAACATTTTTTGTAAATGTGTGAACACATTTTTTTGATACATTGATAAATTTTTAAGAAAAAATACAGTGTAATCTTATTTAAGTAGATGATTTCTTACCAGATCCAGTTTTATGGAAAAGAAAAGGAAACTTTACTTTCTTGAATGGGCCACACTGATTCGGCCCATTTACCTCCGGCCCTGGACGAGCGCTCTGTCTCGTGCCCATCATGATGCTTGGCCAATCAATCAACCCCTGCCCAACGAGGATGTGTGTGTGTGTGAGAGAGAGAGAGATCCGCAGACCACAGAGTCACTGGTGAACAGCAACGGCGACTCATCCACAGCGCCGGTGCTACAGCACCCGTCCTCTCCACCGTGCATGTCTACGGTGCCCAGCCGGTGCTACAGTTCCTCATCTGGGCCGCCCATTTCTTATCCAACGGTGAAGTTACGTACGCTGGGATCCCTGTCTGGAACGAGCAACCAGCGAGGTACTGGCGCCAGGCAGTGAGACACTGTGTGCTCGTGATTGCAACAGAGGAAGAAGACAGTGTACACACACGCTAGCTCAGCCCGTCCCTAGAAACGGGGCGGTTAGCAATAAAAAGGCACTTGGTGCGCCGAAGATTCTGTTATTCAGGTGGTTCCGTGGATCCATGCGCCGAAAAGTCTGTTATTCAGGTTGCAGTCACGAGCAAGCAACAGAAAGGCCATGGCGAAATAGCTCTACATGCAGGAGCAGTAAGGCAAAGAAAAAAAAATCAACCCAACACCGCATTTGGTCCGCGCCTCTCTGTTTGGGTTGAGGCGGCAAATAGCACGGTCCAACGCGAGGCCTCTAACCCAAAAATCTGTCCGTCAAGTGTTCATCTGGACCCATTTTTTTACATAAATTTGGGCTGAATTTGCGTCAACACTGGACGGACGAGAGCTTGTCCTCTTGGTGTCCGCCCTCAGGCCCGCCCGTCAGCCGCCCAACCACTTCCCACCAGCCCCATTTAATCCGAACTCATGGACAACCCGCATGTTAGCCACCCAGCCGATTCCCTGCCGAGGTCCTTTTTAATGGCTACCCCCGTGCGTGGATCAGCCAGTCCACTTCTCCACTTCCGTCGCCTTCCACAATCTTTCCCCTGACCCCTCCCCCCACGCGCCCGACAAGCCCTAGGCCGCTCCACCCCTCACAAGTAGCTATGGGGATGTGTAAGTGGATCCCGCGGAAGTCTGGGAAGCGCGATCATGAAGCCGGCTCGTCTTCTGGCTCATCGGGGCCAAGAAACGCCGCCCCGTGCCAGAGGCCCTACGTGAAGGTGGAGGTGTGCCAGCGTTACTAGGATACGGGCACCCCGTTGTTGTGGCCCGACGCGCACCTACCAAAATGGGTGGCGTCTGAGCCCGAATCGGGTGCCGTGTAGCCCACCCAGGCGAGCGGCCGTGCCCGTCTTTTGGAGATCAATCTTCGGCGAGCGCAATTGCCTCCAGATGTCCTCCACGATTCCAGGTTCGCCATCAACTCGCTGATGTGGGACATGAGGTTTCGAGACGAGCACGACATGCGGCGACAAACTTTTTTTTGCCGCTCGTGCTCCGAGACTGCCACACCCGCATGCTCATGTTCTCGCACCACCCAGGATGCGCGGGCGTTCACGTGGCCGCGCTCGTTCGCCCTAGACGCCCCCACCAACACTCAGCGTCGAAGAGGAGGACGAGCTCATCAAGAAGGTGCTTGAGGACTTCAAGCTCGAGTACGAGCGCAGCCAGTGGGATGGACTGTAGGTGCAGTTCGCCTTGCAGGCCGCAGGCGATGTAGCCGTCCCGGAGTTGGAGGACGGGGTCTTTTGGGAGCCGCAAGTCGTGTCCTGGACCCGGTGTTGGAGGGGCAGTCCTGAAGGTGGACATCGACTGTGTCGTGCAAGCCGGAGTATATGTCTACCCCGCCCTCTTGGGTCAACGCATAACCGTGGTCATCGTCCCCGATGCGTGAGCTACCGCAAGCACCGCCCGCCCACCTGTAGCAGCCACCGCCCTTCCTCGGCCTCACGGAGGACCAGTCGACAACGAAGACGACTAGGACGGTGGCGACAGCGGGGATTGAAGACGGCTAGGATGCCGATGATGGCCGGTCAAGGGTTTAGTTTTATTTATTTTATAATAATGTTTTCTAGTTTAAGTTTAAGTTTGTTGTACGGCGGCGAGTACGCCCAGGGCTTTTGGACTGAATGTAATATAAGTCTTTAAGTGGATGTTTGGCTAACGAATATTAGCGATGGGTTTATAGGAAGCTAGTATTTACCCGATTTTTAGCACATTCAGTTTTATCATAATTATCGGTTTGTGGGAAACTATGTTTGGGTAAGGGAAATGTAAAACCCAGTCTATCATGTTCCTTGTTTGGATACGATTCAATTCCTCTCCCACCTCCATCATCACGGCCATGGCAGCTGGGGCTACCGTCAACAGGAGGTGGCTGCACCCACCAGTGACCACATCGACGAGTCGATGCATGCGGACGATGCACCGGCGCGGTAAACATTTTCCGTCGACGGTGAGGCCGAGCAGCCGCCCGCACATGCGCGTGAAAAGTGATTAGTTATATTCCCCGGCGACAGCTGCTTCTGGAGCTCAATATGCATGTGTGCCGCCCCTCGACGCCGGCCATGAAAACTTCAAACGAAGAGAGGCCCCTGTTTGTTTCCGTTTCACGAGGAGAAACGAAGCAAGGATTGAAATCTGTACGCATCCATCTACGGTGATGTCTTGAGTACTAGTGTTGTTGAGGAGAAAGGAGGCTACGAGGTTGTTGAGAAAAATCAGGAGATGAGAATTACTTGCGATTCAGTATATGTCAGACGTGTTTTCAGAAAAACGACTAATACTTGTTTTTCCACAAACGCAAAATCCTGGTTTGCTATATACACGGATAGGCTAGAGGAGCCAAACAAGATTTCTATTTTGTAGAGATCTAGTCTTGCAAATCATTCGTATCCAAACAACCCCTAAATTATTGTATTTATTTTTATAGTTTAAATTTAAATTCGAAATACAATCACTGTTTAAAATGCGCCGGGCCTGTTAGGCGTGCCTACCGACGGCCGCCTACCCATCCAAACGGACAAAATCACGTCCGTTTACTCGGCCGTCTGTCGTCGGCCAGTTGGTGTTGGCCTAATCAATCCGTGCGTGCAGCAAACCGTTTATTGAACTGAATTTAACGTCCCAAGGCGCCACGGGCACGGACGGTTACTGCCTTCCTTAGTGAGTGCCTTGAGTTACCAGTTCCGGCCATTCTGTTGGTTAGCTTAGCTATCATACCAATTGCAGCAATCGACATCGCTCGGCATCACATACCAGTACATTTTACTGACGGTGATGGAGTGGGCACTCACAAGCTAAAAAGCACGGACACGGGGACGGAAAGACGGGGATACGCATACGGGGATACGGGATATGGCATTTTTCAAAAACAGCCATTCGGGGATACGGCGAGTATATATAAAATAAAATAAAAATATGCCATATAATATACAACTAAGACAGAAAATTAATGAGAAAGAGATCATAATAGAGGGTAATGCCCCATTTGGTGTCTCTTTTATCAAGTGATGATTGATTGGTCCTCATCCCCCCATGTCATGTTGTCATTGCAAGCTGCATCTATCTTGCAAAACACATCAAACACAGACAGTACAGAAGATTAGAAGACAAGACATAATTGGAAGACAATGCAAGCATGAGCAGCATCAGCACAAGCATGAGCAGCAGCACCACCAGCATAAGCGGCAGCACAAGCAAGCATCAAGCCAGCAAGCAACATCCAGCAGCACAAGCAAATCTGAAGGATAAAAGAGGAAGAGGTCGAGGAAAGGGGAGAGGGGAGAGGCTGCTTGGTTACCTGCGAGGCTGGGGGTAGCACCAGCTATCGCCGGTCGAATCCAGGCGTCGGCGACGAGTCAAGGCGGAGGCGGCTTCGATCCAGGAGGCTGGCGGCGCGGGGAGGCTGGGAGGGAGCACCTCGTCCTTGAGACGAGAGCGTGCGGGAGTTCCTGCAAATAGGTTAGGTATACTGGGTTGGGCCGAGGCTGTTTTGGGCCAGGCCGTGTCCCAAACGTATCCCGCACGTATCCCAAACGTATCCCTGTGTTTTTTTCCTTTTTTAAAATCGAAATTCGGGGGATACTGCAAAGTTCGCGTATCCCGGCGTATCCTGGCGTATCCCCGTATCCTGCCGTATCAGAACGGCAGTTCGGCACTTCCAGCCGTGTCCATGCTTTGTAGCTCACAAGCACACGCCATGTCGACGACTTCACCGAGTTCGTCGTCTACAGATGGATCTCGACGCACTGACAGGACAGGACAGGACGCCGACGTTTCCCCACCACCGGACATGCTCCTGAAAGATCGCTGGGAAGCTGTGGATCCTTCTCGTCCTGGACCAACCAGGACTATCAGCGAACGCGAGTACGTAAAAAGGCTGGAAACACGACGGCTGTGGCCTCCGGCAATTCATGTATGAGCCCGCTCTCATTTACACTGGATCAACAGTAAATAGAAAAAAAATAGTTAAACAATTCAAAAGGTTGTCAAACTTTTTTGGCATCGAAGATGATCGAGTGCGCCGAAATTTCATAGTGTTTATAGGCAAAAAAAGACAAAATCAGCCCAAACAGAGTACGTTTCCAAATTTTGTTCACATCTAATTTTTTGTCTCTTTTTGGCACGGCCACCTCGAATGTCTAGACATCACGAATTTTTACAGGCACATTACACATTCAAGCATCTTGTATGCAAAAAAGTTGAGATTTTTTTTTTATTTTTCCCGCTACTGTTCCGCCCAGGTGCATCTACACCTGGGCATCGAATCGATGCTTCCTGTTTAATTAGGAACTGAGCACACAAATTCCTTGGAGAGAAGGGGTGTTGGTTCCTCTTCCTCCCTCCCTGCCCTCCTTTTCTTCCTCCTCAAACCATCATGTCCGACGTCGGCCAAAACGCCTGCAACGGGCATCGTCACCCCTTGCACTCAGGTGCCGACAACCCCGGCAACTGTGTACCTGCCGCACTCCTATTGTCTATGACGACGCAACAAGTCGTGTCCTCCATGTCTCTAGCGAGGTTCTGACTAGGCCTAGTTAGGGACGTCGCTGCCAGTCGCGGCCTCCCTGCCCCCTATGAGGTGAGGTCCTGGCAAGGCCTTGGGGAGGGGGAGGGGTCGAAGTCGACCATGACCCTCTTGTCTCGTCCTTGGGACTACAGTACTGGTAATCCACAAATAGAAAATTTCAGATTTCGTTTCTTAAAGGAAAAGGCTCTGTTACCCGTAGAATAGCATATGTGATATAAAAAACATGACATCAATTTATATGTCATGAAAGAGGTTAGATCATTTAAATGTAGGGTGCCTTGAATATAACTCTACCCTAAAATGTAGGGTACGGTGACTTGGATTTAACTATTTCAACCTCACGCCACTAAAATGTTTTTAGATAGACACATAAGATATACTGTATTGAGTGTACCCTTTATGAATTTATCTTGGGACCGACTACTTAACATGTACATGGATAAACATGTTTCATCAGTTACTTTCAGCAAAGGCCATTAAATCTTCATCCAAAGTCTGAAAACAGATCTGACGATGTTCATCTTTAACTCCAGCTTCTTCTCCTCATGTAGCCGCCGGCCAACCTAGGCCTAACCGCCTGCCTCCGCTCCCGCAGTCAGCGGCTTTCCCCGCCTCACCGTCCCGCCCCTCCCCTCGACCTCCCCCACCATCGTGTTGGTCATCGCCCCGACCATCTCTCTAGGCCCCGCACCACCGGTGATCAACTCCGGCAATCCCCCCTGCACACCCCCACTCCTAAGATTCTTTTCCGAGAAAACCCCCACTCCTAAGGTTGATAACGAGGATTGCTTCTTCTCCAGCGAGGTCACTTCTTCTCCGGCGAGGTCCGACCTCTCAAGAAAAATGACCGACGCAATAATTATTTCCATTTACCTGGAAAATAGCAAAATCGATTTTATCTTTTAGCATGACCTGCCTGGAAGAAACCAGGCGCGCCCGATTTCGCCTAACATTTCCCATTTCCATAGGGAGACCGGCCCCAAGTAAAAAGAAGAAGGTGACGGTTGAACAAAGCCACATCGGGTCACTCGCCACTGGCGAACTGCCTAACAAGTGTTATATATTCCCTCTTCTGCCCTTCCCACTACTCCTCGTCGACTTGATTCGCCGGCGCCGACGAGCAACCCCGACTTGACTCTGACCACACCACCACCACGCCATCACCTTTCCCTCACAGCTCCACAGTCCTGGCCACGCACACACAAGCAAAGAATCCTCTCCTGTCGTCGACAAACCCAAGATGAGCAGGCTCCACCACGTCCTCCTCCCATGCCTCCTCCTCCTGGCCGCCGCCGGCAGCGCCGCGTCGGCGTCGAGCCCCCCGAAGGTGAGCCCGGCGGAGGCCACAGGCTTCGTGCGCCGGTGCTGCCGTGCCACGAGCTACCCGCGCGCGTGCGAGCGGAGCCTGGTCCCTCGCGCGCCGAGCGTGGGGCTCAGCCCGCGCCGGCTCGCGCAGGCCGCGCTGGCGGCCGCCGCCGACGCCGCGCGCAACTGCTCCGCCTACATCGGGTCCCCGTCCTCCTCCTACGCGTCGTCCAAGGGGAAGGGGGGCGGCGCCATGGGGGACTGCGCCGAGACGGTGCGCGACGCGGCGGACCTGCTGAAGCAGTCGGCGGCGGAGCTGGGCGGGCGGGTGGGGCGCGCCTCGTCCCCGCGCTTCGCGTGGTGCCTCAGCAACGTGCAGACCTGGGCCAGCGCCGCGCTCACCGACGCCGAGACCTGCCTCGACTCCCTCGCCACCTACGCCGGCGGCGCGCCCCGGGAGGACGTGAAGCGCCGCGTCGTCGCCGTCGAGCAGGCCGCCGGCATCGCCCTGGCCCTCGTCAACCGCCTCCAGCCCGCGCGCCGCCCCGCCACCGCCACCGCCGTCCACCAGTAGCCGTTGCTGCTAGCTATCTATTCCCCGTCGCCATTGTAGCTACATATTCTATTCCCCTTCGCCATTGCTGCGCTGGCAGACATATGTACGGATTACGTTACTGCTAGTGAAACAATTTCACCATCACCATCGTCTACATGATTTTGGCGCGGACGTGGATCACAAAGTTGCGGATTTCGTCGGCGCCTGGATCCACCGTACGCACCGCCTTCATTGCTATAGCTAATTCTGTCTCCTCCATGACGAGACAGAGCCGGCAATCTTTCACGGGCATGGACGTGGGGTGGGGCACCGACGGCGATCGGTCCTGTCGCGGCGTCGAGATGGAGACGAATCCGGTGAACTTGGTCGACATGGCGTGTGTGGATTGGATGCGTGCGTGCCCACTCCATCGCCATCAGCATACGCACATGATGTTCGTAGTCATTGGCATTGGTCCCCGTTGCATTTCTTTCGCTGCAATCTCCCTCCCTGGGCGGGCAATTGATCGATCCAGCAGACCACGCATGGCCGCCCCCATGGCCCCATCACAAGATTAATTAACCAGCCAACAGAATAACTGTAAATCGTGGCCCGGAATAAGAAAATCCCTACTCGTTCGTTCAGCGGTTGAAGGAAAATCTCTGCATGCGGTTGCAAGCAAATCAAGAAATCGCAGTCCATCAGGGACACACTGCCAGCGCAATGTTACTGCTACTGCAAAGTGCAGTGTCGCCATGGATCGCCTGATACTTTCGCCTTGTTGCTTGTTGGTGGTTGCAACCTGAACTGTTCAGGCTGAACAACACGATTTTTTCTCCTGATTTGGTTGCCTCCTGCCATTGCGTCCAAAAGTCCGCTGATTTGGTTGTGGTTGCCTCCTGCCATTGCGTCCAAAAGTCGATCCGTAAACGACGGATACCGGTGAGCTCGTCGACATGGCCGACGTAAGGATCCGTAGGTCGCCGAATCCGACTGGGAACACACCAGCCAGGTGATTCTCCTGGCCCTGTGGCGAACCTGGATAACTGCCGCCAAGAGCAGGCGTGGCCAGCTGCGCTGCATAAATTTCTAGTCGGCAAGTGCGCTGGGACGATGGATGACGAGATGAAAATTTGCCATGGAATTCAGAAAGCATACCCTCCATTTTATTTGTTTATTTTCCTTTTTCTTTTTTTTACCTTTTATTCCATTTGTGGGGAAGCATGTGCATTTTTTCAGGTTCCCCTGGATTTTTTTTATACTTTGTCCATAATTTGTTTTTTGTGGCAGAATATGCACATACCATTTTAAAATTACATGAACACATGTTTTGTTATACTTGAACTGGTATTCATGCATTGTGAACATTTTTAAAATTGGGATGGACAATTTTCTTCTACTATATGAGCATTTCTCTTTATGTACATGAACAGTTGTCTTTATTTCTCTGATACAATTTTTTTCACCATTAGTGAACCATTCTATTAACAATGTTCTGAAATTTACTAATTAACTATATATATTTTAAAAATAAATAATTATTGGCAAACACTTTTTGGAACACACAAATATATTCATTTTATTAACACAAAACTGTAAAAAGTAAATATAATTTATGGGATTTTCAAAATACAAAAAATTCTCTCCTGGTTAATAATGCTTAATGCTCCGTTTGGATGTAAGCATTGGAGGGCTTGGCATTGCATTGGCTTCCATGCCAAATATCCCAGTTTATTGATATTGTGTTTGAATGCCAATTCAAGTGCTTGGATGTTCATGTATTAGCACTTGGAACCTAAGGCAGCTACCCAATGCCAAATCTTGTTTGGATGGTGAAACCATTGAATTGCAAATTTATATGGAGTATGATCATTATACTCTATTGGACATGTCTCAAAATGATTTCTCCACAACATGGACATATCTTCGAATGATTATACACGTAGACACTACAAATAACATTCAGAAAGAGAAAAGTATGTTTTTGGTCCCTCAAGTTCCGCCAAAGTATAGACTTGGTCTCTCAAGATTTTTGGTGTAGATGACATATGGGTTGTGGACTACCCATGTGTGTTATTGACATAAAAGGTTTGTTAGTTAAGAAGGTTGCAATAGATGGTGCTTGGTGACCCCCTCGCCCCAATTGCAAAACAGAGGAGGTAACATGTGGCGGCGTTGGGATGCACCATATGGAAAAAAAAATTCACTTCTGAGGAAAAGTGACCTCTACAGGGGCATAAGTCAGTTAGTTGCTCTCAACTTTTATAAGCGTTTCTTTCTAGAAATGGAACGACGCTATATTTCCAGCCATGTCTACTTCGCGCCCGAACCGAGATGTAGTTCGGCCTAGCCTCTGGACATGAGGGAGTGGGCCGGCCCAGTTACTATAGCGTCTCTATCTCAAGTCTTTGCTTCTCTGTGGGTTTCTTCTCTTTTTTCTTCTGTTTTTCTTCGTTTCTTCAAGTTTTCTTTAGTTTTTTATTTCTTCTGCGCTTCTTCACCTGCCTTCTTTGTTACTAAATGCTTTTCAACACATGTCTACTTTATTTCCATACACACTGTACAATGTACACTTTTAATAGATGTTGAACATTTTTAAATACACAATGTACATTGTTTTTAATATTTGTTTTCAATATTTTTTAATACATGTTGAACATTTTTGGAATGTCACGAAACATTTTTGAACTACGTGAACATCTTTACATTCTATAAGCATTTTTTCTCAAAATATCATGAACAATTTTTTGGAACACATGAATATTTCTTTAAAATTTCACTTATATTGTTTTGAATGGTACTTCACATTTTTATGTTTTTTTAAATGTCACCTACATATTTTTGAACCATGTGATTATTTTTTGAAATGTAACGTATTTTTGGATGTTACTAAACCTTTTTGTTTTAATTATTTTTGAAGTATCTGAACATTTTTTAAAATTCATGAACAGTTTTCAAAGGCTGTCAACATTTGCCTACAGTTGTGCGAGCATTATTTTACATCACATGACCATTTTTTAAATGACAAATTAACATTTTAAAGATCTAAACAAAATATGTTTCCATTTTAGAAAAAAAAAAGTGCGCTAGGAGCCAGCCCTCCTGCAATAGCCCGACCCATTTAGGGGGAAGCTGGAGCCGTGGGGTTCTGTCGTCTCGGTATAAGTGAGACAAAGCACACCCCGCATGGACTGACCGAATGACTCAATTTGGTTCGACTCGAAAAAAAGCACTCATATTGGTTTGACTCGTCAAAAAAAAAGAGAGACTCAATTTGGTGCCCAAAAAACACAGAAATGAGCCACCTGTACTCAATTTGGCACCTTCCATCATTTAAATTCAGTTAAAGAAATGTGATCTGTAATTTGCGGAACTGCCTGGTGGGTTGTGTAATTTCTTTTCTCTCTTAATATAATACATGTAGACATGTAGCCCTCTTGCATCAAGATGGCAACGGGGACGAAACCCATCGGGTTTTGCCTTTCCAAACCCATCCCCACGAAAAAATCGTAAACCCGTCCCCGTCCCCATCATCGTGTGCAGGGCTAGTTTTCTGCCCGTCCCCTAAACCCATCGGGTTTCGGGGAACCCACGGGGAACCCACGATAAAATCAAAATATTTAAACAAATATAGTGGCGACAAAGAATAACATTTCAGCAGCAAAACAAGCACATTTCAACAGTATAACTTGAGTAAATTTTAACAAAAAACAATAGTAGATGGTTCAACAGCTATATAAGTTCTGAAATAGAACTTATAGTTCACAAATCACTTTAAAATTGAAATCATCATGGCATCTTTCACATCTCCAAGCCTCCAAACGACCATCTTCAAATCTTCCAATGCCAAATCTATGAGAATGTAAAGTCTTGAAGACAACTCCAAAAGCTTTGTCCTTATTCATTGTCAGCATCTATGAGAATCAAATAAGTAGTAATGAACATCTTATGAAACATTGCAGCAAGATAGTGATAAACTTTATGATGATATGTAAAGAAAGACACACCCATATATTTGTTTCTTATCCAATCTTGTGAACACATCAAGGCCTCTAAGATTTCGGGGGTAAGATGACTACGGTGGTACAAAAATAATGTAATTTCGCGGGTATTGCCGGGTTTCGGGTTCGGGGATTACCGAAACGGGTGTAAACCCACGAAACCTGTCGGGTTGTATAATGTGCCCAACAACAGCCCCGCGGGGATGAAAAGATGCCCATCCCCGTCCCCTAATAGGGTAAAAACCCACGGGGGCGCGGGTTTCGGGGCCCCATTGCCATCTTGACTCTTGCATGCTTCGGTGAAAAAATGCAATGTCGATTTATTACATAGGAATGAAGTTGCAGTACATTAGTTTTGCACACCGTAATGTGGCAGGGTTTTTGGCAATTGGCAGTAACTTTTAGCATTAGTTGGCTGGTCGTATTGGCAGTTCTTTTATTTGAAATCATGTTGGCATTTTTGTCGGTGTGTACTAATATAAAAAATGCGTACAAAAAACATGGCGTCTCATCGGTCATCACGTAGCTGTCTCCATCATCGGTTGCCGTCTAGAGCTTCAGATGGCCAAAGATTCATCAACAAACATCAACGAGTTGCTTCTTTTCACTCTGGCGCAAGGGCTCAAAGGTGATAACTCAGTAAGTGTGGCCTGCTGCTCTACAAAATTCTGAACCGGGAAGAGAGCTATGTACTCGATATCGAGATGGAGTGCGTCACAGATCGTAGTGTTTTCTTTTTTTCTTTTTTACTTTCTGGAGGGAGGCACAGATGACAGGTCCCTAGGAAGGATGCTGAAATCTGTCTACATGGGAGGATGCTCATTTTCTAACCAGTCTGAATATAAATTGAATTTGCCAGCATACAAAATGCATTCTGATTATTACAAGCAGTGGCCTTCTAAAACCTTCATGATCGAAAGCAACGAGTGAAAATATTACAGATGCTAAGAACTAAGAAGACAAGTCGTGGTAAACAAAACCACGCCCGAAATGAACACTGCCGCTTATTGACTGCAGCTATTGTTTACATTGGGTATCTTCATGTAGGTTTCAGACAAGAAACGTAGTCATAAAGCAAGTTTTGCACCTGACCAGGCACACTAGCATTATCACTGCACAAGATCTTCTGGGTGGGGCTCGCACCTGGACCTGGTCACGCTTCACGATGCCTGCGTGGGTGAGGAGAGCCCAGATACGAGTAAGGAATTACCCTCCAACTCGTGGATCTGTAGGCGACGAATTTCGGTAAACTCGTCGACATGGTGTCCACTGTCCACTCCATCACCATCAGTATGCATATGGTGCTGACAGTGATTGCGTTTTTTGCTGCTATCTGCCATCTCCCTCCCTGGGCAATTGATTGCTCCAAGGTACGCTGTCGTGGTGACCACTA